AATGTTATAGATGTAAAGGTGAAGAAAGAAAACATATGCATATAACTAGAAAGGTAACATATGCAAAGCAAAATGCATGATGTTTACCTTCACATGGTTTAGCCTTACAAACTGCTGCTCTGTTTATTCGATTCTTACTCAAGCATATTCATAATATATCATAATATGGTGACCAGCCCCTCTGCCCTGCCACTTGCTACATAATTGTATAACCCAACACCACAGGGTGTCTGCTACAGCACCAGTTACCATGGTGACAGACGTCTGACCCAGGTCATTGACCTTATGTGTTTGGAGAAGAAACAGAGCAAAAACTATAATGTATTTTCTTTCTGCACACACACACACACACACACACATACAATACTATACCTCTGGATACTATATGCTTCAGAGAGAGACATTAGCAAACATAGATTTCACTGAGCACTGACAACATTACAAACCTTTGAACCTCTGAAACTCTCCCCCACCATATAGATTCCTACTCAGTTCTTATATAGCCATTCCCCTGCCATGCCACGATACGATACGCCGGGTCAAAACCGCCTTCCGGGACAAATTGCCGGTCGCGCCAGCCATGCAAAAGCCGTTAGGAAATGCCCTCGCATTCTCCGAAACATTAAGATGGTCGTGATTATTGAGACACATTGCAGGGCTCGAAATTCATTTTTGGGAATAGGTGCACTGGGTCCTAAAATATTGGGTGCACAAAACATTTTTGGGTGCACCATATGAAACAAAACCTACTAGTAATTGCAGGTCTTACTGCTCCTCTTCTGAGATTGAATCTAAAAAAGTAAAATGAGAGCTAACTTCAAAATCTTAAACATTACTACAACAAAGATTTTATTATTTTTCTGATATTTAGAGACCAAGGAGATCCAGTATACTAGAAGGGTTTGAAATACTGGGTGCATGTGCACCTTGGTGCACCCAAAATTGGAGCTGTGCACCCAGTTTTTTTCTGTGGGTGCACCGGTGCACCCAAATATTTTTGTAGGTATTTTTTTGCATATCAAAGGTCTAATAGTATACCGGATATTCTTGGCATCTGAGTGTCAGAAAAAGAACAAAATCTTTGTTGTAGTACTTAGAGTCAATTCCGCGTCACCGAGTGGGTTGTTATTGTCATTATTTAGAAATGTTTTGAATTCTTTGTAATTGTTTGTCTAAGAAATTTCATAATTTGGAAATATTTTGAACATCTTGTCAATATTCTAAATAATTCCCTGGTTTTCTAAAACGTTTGAAATATTCCTGATGTGGATTATGACATTTCCAATAGTTTCTAAATATTTCTAACAGCACTCTACCATTTTTTACCATTATTTCGAATTATTTCTAACATTTTGTAAATAGGTCAGTGGGATGGGAAGGAAGTAATTCACACATCCCTGTGAAGTACAGGGTAGACTGCCTGGGTGTCAGGCATTGATGCCTTACAACAAAAGAGCCACCAGTGTCCAGCAGTGAAATCTAAAAATATACAAAGGAAGACAGAAGAGTAGGATTAGCACCTACTTTTATGGGGGCAATTACCCACATCTACCATTTGGTTATTTGTTTGAAATAGTTCTAAATATTTCGAATTGTGAAAGAAACACATGGGTAGTTCAAATTTATTCTAAAGAAAGAGATCTTTGTACAGTCACATTCAAAATGTTTCAGAAATATATAAATGAATTCAAATATATTCAAATTTTCATTTTCAAATTTTTGAAAAATTTAGAACTTTTGTTACTGGGGTATTCTTTTCTTCTAAATAATTCAAACGTATTAGAAACATGGAGAAAAAACCCACTCGGTGACGCGGAATGGACTCTATGTCAGATTTTGAAATTAGCTCCCATTTCAGATTCAAGCTCAGAAGAGGAGCAGTAAGATCTGTACATACATGTAGGTTTTGTTTTATATGGTGCACCCAAAATTTTTTGTGCACCTAATTTTTTTAGGTTGGGTCCACCAGTGCACCTATTCCCAAACATGAATTTCGAGCCCTGATGTTAGGAAATGCCCTCGCATTCTCCGAAACATTAAGATGGTCGCGATTATTGAGACACATTGGGTGAGTCCTGATCCCGCAATCAGCCGGCATGGAGGTGGCGGTGAGCGGAGAATCTCTGCGGGTCAGCCTCGGCAATAACTCTCACAGCCCCATAAAGTATCCCTCCCCGCTAAGCTAAAAGTATCGCTCCTAAATACAACACCGTGTGCAAGCAGGTCCGAGGCATAGGAAAAGTGATGTGTTGTTTCCCGTTTCTTGACCGTAGCTTGGGTGCCATCTTCCATAGGTTCTGCCCACTCCCCAATGTCGCTGGCTATCCCGAATGACCCTAGAAAAAACTGCCGACCCTAGCCTTTTGTTGGTGTGAACCCCTGCAAGGGACATAAATTTTTCGAGCTGATTGACCTTTTCTAGCTCCATGATCTGACACCTTGATGATAAAAATATTGTACAATCAGTTTTCCAACATTGACATTGAAAATATAAGTGTCCTCATGCAAGGTTTACTAAATGTCAAACTTTATTGTATAAGTTGAATCACTAGAAATTTCCAAAGTCTAAAAAAAGAAAAACAAAAAAAGATAATCCCTACCTACAGACCCTAATTTTGTCAGGACTGAAACAGGAAACACAACATTTTTTTCTTAGGCCTCATAAGTATCCCTTTCCCGCTAAGCTAGAGGAATTGGCCGTAAATCCGAAGCCGTTTCATTTCTGGCTCGGTGCGAGCTGCCCCAGCCAGCCGCCTCAAGCGGGTGCAAGAGCGGAATTTACGCGGAGGTTGGAGAGGTAAAAAGAGCGCAGTTTAACTGCCCAATCAGAGATGGTATGAGGTCCCTGGGGGCAATGATGATTTGTAAGGACTGTGTTAGAAGTACATTCCTGTGGATCTTTGTGGAATGCAGAAACAACTGCAACAAAAGGCTCTAGTACAGATACAGTATGTCTTTGCCTCTTTGCCACGAAATAGCTATTCAAACTTTTGAATCAAAGGCAGACCAAAAAATTACCTACAAAGATCGTCTTTAAATCTCAAATTCTAGAAGCCTCCATAATACTCGCAGATATCAGCAAGAATGTATGATATTAAAGCTAGTATCATATTTAGTCTCTTTTTCATATACTCTGAGGGATATGACAATTGTTAAAATGTACAATATTTTACAAAATTTCTGTTGGAATGCGTTCTGGAAACTGCATTGATGTCCACCACATTTCTTCATCACCAACAGAAATGGCCTGTGAGATAGATCTGTCTAATGTGGACATTAACGGTCGTATCCATTCTCCGGGTATCGATTCTGCAGTTGGAGTCAGCTCGGGGGGTCCTGGGGCGTTTTTCAGCCATTAATATTAATCAAAGATCAATCTCACATCGGCGAGGTGTCAGATATTTTCTAGATAGGACGATAAAGACGTCACCCTCGGTGCGCGTATGTTTCTCACCAGTGCTATGAGGCAACGACTACGGGTAAAGGGCTCGAAATACCCTAAATTTCATTCTTAATACCTGCACTGAATTGTCAGTGGCAACACCTGTGCTGCAGTGCAATGTGAACCAGTCAGAATTGCCCTGAGGAAGGTGACACTGACAGGCAGTCACCGAAACGTCGGCTGTGAATAAAACACTTGGTTGTGTGAAAAGAGTCTCTTCACTCAATGTCTTACCAACCTGATGAAACTATTCACGGACATTCAAATTTATGTACACCAAATTTTACCTGCACCACTCAGGATTTAGGAAGTATGGATCATACTAAAACTGTTTCTCGCCAGTGCCACTAGCTATAGGCAACGACTATGGGTACAGGGCTCGAAATACTTTTGCACTGGTTTAGGTAACATTCAAAATCACCTGCACCAGACATTAGTTTTACTTGTAGCGCTCATCAGAATTTAGAAAGTATGGATCACACTAAAAACTTTGGAAATCGGGCAATTCGGCTGTTCGGACATATTAGGCTGCATTTTCAAATCATTGCAACACAAAATCTTCTGCCAAACGGCTACCATAGCAAGTTACCTTTAAGGTTCAAGGATACTTCAATACAACAGAAAAACTTTTGAACGTTAAAAAAAAAGTTACAAACTTCAGACTTTTACATAACATATCTAGAACCTATCCCAACAAAGCTAACAGAGATGAAATTTTCTGGATCACCCTGCCAGCAAAAATCTCTCCAAGATGAATAACTTCTTTTTTTCGAGTCTCATTTCTTGAGTCTTTTTTCTCGAGGCTTACTTCTCGAGTCTTACTTGTGTAACCAAAGCTTAGGAAGTGCCTAAAGCATGTTTAACCATAGATGTACAAACGCATGTAGACTTGATAACAAACTCCATGACGGATGTTTCTAACCTTTACCAGTGAAGGGAAGTCTTAACGTACAGATGTAGTAACTAATTTCTGGTCAGGTTGATGGATGTTGGTGCTTTTTTGTATCCCCGAGCTTTTTTCTGTGTCTAGACTTCAGATGGTTGTACGAGTTTTACCGGAGGAAACTGACGAGATAGAAGGTTTATGTAATTTGTAACGTCCTGCTTTTGCCTGTGGGTTCTTTGTGCAACTTTCTTTGTTCAGACTACCTTGACCTCAAAAAGTTTTACCTGCATTTCCAATGCTGGAATTGGTATGAATTATGATGGTATTTGTGAAGTTAGGGTACCTCTGGGGTAAAACTAATTGGATTAGAATACAACATTGTGCTTTCCTATAAGGCACTTCATTTTGTTACTTAAACCCAAGGAAGTGAAGTAACTTGTCTATATCTTGTCTTGTCAGTGTGTGTCTGTCTCTGTGTGTGTATGTCTGTGTGCTTGTATGTAACATTACATCTATCTGTGTGTGTCTGTACTTGTGTATTTCTATTACTCCCAATGTACATTGTACATCCTCAGTGTTGCTATATTGGCTGTGGGACTACTAGTAGAAGAAATCTGTTCTAGTCAAAATTTATCAGCATCTTCTCATGTTTTCCGTCTGTTCCCCTCACAGTGGATCGAAGTCAGCAACATCAACTCGGACGGCCACCCCGTCAGAACGTACCAAGTGTGTCAGGTCCGTAGGGAGGACCAGAACAACTGGCTCCGAGCCGAGTGGATCCCGAAACGCCAGGGCCGCCGGATCTACGTCGAGATCAAGTTCTCGATCCGCGAGTGTCGGGACATCCCCAACGTCGTGTCGTGTAAAGAGACGTTCGATCTGTACTACTTTGAGTCGGATTATCCGGACGCCACGGACGACAGTCCCGCGTGGAACGACCGAACGTACACGAAAGTCGACCGGATCGCGGCAGACGGACGGTTCAGCCACGTGAACACGGAAATCATCAACACCGAGGTCCGCGACATAGGGCCGATCTTCAAACGTGGTTTCTACCTGGCGTTCCAGGACTCTGGAGCGTGCATATCGCTGTTATCCGTCCGCGTGTACTACAAGGTCTGCCCGACGATAACCGAACACTACGCGATCTTTAACAAGACGGTCACGGGCCCGTCCATAACGTCGCTGGTGCAAGCGGAGGGCCAGTGCATCCCGAACTCGGAGCCGGTCGGACGGCAGCCGACTGTCCAGTGCACCGGGACCGGAGAGTGGACGCTGTTTACCGGGAGCTGTCGATGTCTGCCTGGGTACGAACCGCAGAGGACGGTCGCTCAGAGATGCGACGGTAAGTACAACAATTCTCGCGTACATACTTTCAATTTTTCGTGGGTCAGCCATCACCAGCTGAGTCGGTGCTGTCCCAAGTAATGACATGTATCATTACCAATACAGTGTATTACTAATAAGTACAAATGTAAACACAAATTCTCACAAATTAAAACAAGGTAAGTATGATAATTCTCTATAGGCAAAAATTAGACACAGCTTCTGATAAACGTTAGGCTGTTATTCCTAGTCCACGGGCTAGCTTGTATATATCATAAATGTTTCACACATTTGAAGTTACAACATCTTCTATGACAATCCCAGATAGCACTTTTCGCACACCTACATTATTATATACAGTGCCTGCCAGGCATCTGTATCAATATACATCAAAGAGAATGTTTTATATCAGCAGGGTGTGTGAGGAATGGGGGGGATTTACCCCACTTTTGTAAGTAAATCCGCTACCCTTGACTCCTAACTACCCAGCACTCTGCACCGTCGCTATATCACATTAAGGCACTGCGCGCTCAGGCCTAGGAAATAAAATACTGTGTTTCATGTTTCAGTCCTGAAAAAAGTACATGAAGGGTCGTCAGGAAGGGATTACCTGTTTTACTTTTTTTGATGATCTCTGGTGATCCAACTTGTACAATACAGTGTTTAACAATTTCAGTAAAACTTGCACAAAGACACTGATATTGTCAATGTCAGTGTTGGAAGACAGATTGTACAATGTTTCATCACTCACTGTGTCAGATCATGGACCTAAAAAAGGTCGATCAGCTTGAAAAACGCATGTCCTTTGCGCATGCAAGGGTCCACACACAAAAAAAGCTTGGGTTGGCAGTGTTTTTCTAGGGTCGGTCGGGAAACAGGAAACACAAGGTTTTTTCCTAGGCCCAAGGCACTGGGCGCTAAGGCCGGGCTGCACTGCACCGGCGAAATCCGCTATCAAATATTGATGGCTGTGATAAATATGCTACATTTCCCAAGGAGGCTTCGCTTATGTTTTATGGCGATACTTTTCAGCGTATTACGTCTGACTGCTTTAAATTTCTGTCTACGGATTTGTCTTGGAGTTCCAAATCTTTAAAATGAATTATATACTATACTTATACATATCAAGATATTTATGTGATATTATTAATGTCTTTTAGAGCAGTCATATTTTAGGATATATCAGCTCTCAATTGAGAAACAGTCAGTTGCAGTGATTCGTATTCCGAAAGCGTAAGATGTGAAGAACTCTACATCTTGTAGAGATGTATTGTCAATATATAGTAAATAAGACATTTCTGTTGACTTATGGAAATTATTTCTTAAGCACAGGGACAGTATGCTTTCTATGAGTTACCGCTGATTCTTGTAGTTCTAAAGCAATTTTCTAAACCTAAAAAGCACACAGTCTGTTGCCTGTAGGCTGTACTGTAATATATTATTATCAGCTCTTGATACAATGTTCCTTTGTACTGCTACCTGAGCCCATATCCAATCCAAGCTTGGTGACAAAACACAGTCTCAGCAGACGCAAGGTTAAACTAGACAAGATTCTGTTAAAAAAACAAGCTTAGAAGAAAAATGTATGTAGTAGTGACAAGATATGACCTTGAACAAGATTTGTCGACGTGACCTTGAGGTGTGTGAAATTCCACCTCCAGGCGACCTCGGGGGAACGCTTTCCGTGTTTCGACACCCCGCGTTTCACCTGCCGCGCATTAGACGCCGGCGTATCGCTGATTCTTTAAAAGCTTTTTCCTCGCTATTCTCACGCACGTCTGCCAAGGTGAGGAGTTACCAAAAGTGCGGCTCTACTTTAACAAACCAGCCATGCGTCGCTCCTCTTTCCCACTCCACAACCTAACCTCGCAAAAACTACCGACCCACACCGACCCTAAAGTAAACAATATGTTTGTTCCTTCCCCGTCTGCCTTCAAGGAAACTGTCCAGATTTTCAACAGGGTTGAAACTTGTCCAAAATGTCAACAGGATCTTTGTTCTCCGGGGTCATCAGATGGTAAATTTACCATGAAAAGCAAGGAGAGAGTTTGCGAGTCTTTGGTAGGACGTGACCCAAACAGGCCCCCCCTTTTACAAGTGTTTGCGTTTCCCATCATCTATAGGACATGGTTTGTTCGGTGATTTCACAGGTTTCACACACGGAAGGGAAACTTGTCAGTGATCGGTCTGAGAGCTTTCCAGAGAAACCCCAACTGTTGACAACTGCCTGGCAGGACATATGTCATGTTGTAAGGTGACACTTGTATGTACAAATGGAGTAATGAGGATGTAATTGGTAGCCCCTGGGCAAAGAACAGTGTATACATTGATTGTGACTTCAACAACACCATTCTAATATTACTTTCATCCAGTGTTAAAGGTTGCTAATTTTGGACACAGCAAGCTTGATATCAGGACCATAATTAGAATCAGCAAAAAGGCCACTGGCTAGCGTACCTGGATAGCTGACATATACTAAGATAATAATGAATAAAGTCAAGTCAAGTCAAGTCAATGCCTTTAGTTTGCTTCCAATCCTTGTTCGACCTACAAAACAAGTTGAAAATTCGTAAAACCTCAGGTTCGAATCCCACTTCCCAGTCAGAGTTTTGCATTCTAGCTATGTTTGAACAGTTGTTTGGTGTCTCTAGCTCTCACCCAACGTTTCATGCCAACAGTGTAAGGAACTCCCCAACAGGTGAGTCAACTTGTTGAGGACAGGAACACCCGTATGAGACAGTAGGAGCTTGTTAAGAGTACTACTTCATCAGGTTTCAGTCTCAGGGACGGCTCCTGGGTAAATATTATAGCCTTTGAAGTTTTTCTGCTCTGAACAACTGTTGGACTCTCATGCGAGTCATTAAAAAAACAACTGTTACTCTTGCTGATTTGAAGTGCAATCATTAGGTTTTTGTTTCATTTGTGTTTCGACCAATTTTTCTTTGTGAAAATCCTGGGTAAATAAATGTTGAGGTATTCAGCTGTTGTCCACTTGTGTGAGACAGTCATTTAAGAACAACAGTTGCTGATTTGAAGTGAAGTCTTTCAGGTTTTCGTGTCCTTGTGATTGGCACACTTTTTTCTTTGTGAAAAAAGGTCTGAATACAATGAAAGTTTCGCACAATACATTTATATATGTAAATAGCTTATTAAGTAAAACATAAAATCTAGAGCATTTCATGACAGTGTAATTCATCTCCAATTTGCTTTGGACAGATGGAAAGAACCTTTGGTCAGGGGCTATGGTAATTGCATTTACAGTAGACCAATCAAATACCAATCATTACATGGAGAAGTCTTGTACCACTTGAGGAAGGGTCAGGATTAAGTCTGAAAGGCACAGGAACAGGTGGGGCTTCAGGTCATTGACCCCTGGGGAAAAACCATTGTTGGGTCTTCCAGCTGACTCTGCCTGTGTTCTGCCTCATTATTTCACATAGGGAGCGTCCATTGTGGATTGTAGGGGGTCTGTATGACAATGAGAAATGAAAAATTGACTATGCAGGTAATATAGTCGGAGAAGTTGGGAATTTTGTTCAGAAGTTCGGAATTTTGTCGACAAAGTTTAAAGAGCTAAATTGTTGAAAGAAAGCATTTTGTGAATCTCTTTTTTGTCTTCCATGTACGTTTGGTTTGCCCCTTAGGTCCATAAAATATATTCTCAACTGTGGCATTCTTATTGCTGATACTTAATTATAGGGTAGACTTGTGTGGATTGAAAGATTACAAATGTAGGTCACAATGTGAAGTTTTCAACATGGAAGAAGTACTCTGTCTATAAGGAAGATGTCTACTTTAAAAAAAAATCAGATTTTATACCGTAACACAATCATCAAATGACCACGTTAAAAAAAAAAAGTTGAAACTGAAATGATATTTTTTTTTGATAGGCGACTTTATTAAAAGAAGTGTTGAACTTACGTGAGTAAAGAATGGCCTGAAAATATTCTCACAGCTAAAAGGCATGAAATATTCGGACACATAACTTGCCTATTTAGCTTTATCACACCCCAAAAGGCTTGCCACACCTACAGCCTGGTATCTACCATAGGCCCCCAGGTTATATGTTCTATATTTAATTTATTTAGTAAATAGATAAGCCAGACTGACAAATCACTTCGCCTGTCAGAAAATTTCCCTTTTTTTTAAGAAAAAAGCTTCTACAATAGCTCCCTGCTGTTTCATAAGAACCTAGCTCACTTAAAATGCCACTTTTGACATATTCATGAATTATCCAGATAAATTTATGTGTATGGAATACTGAGAAAGACTCAAACAATAATGTTAAACCTTGATGTTCCACTGTTACATCTGTAATAATATGGATCAGATATTGCTGGTGCCCGGTGGGGGGGATTTGTGAAATGAAAAATGCTGGTGTAAAATGAAAAATTTAATTTTTTAAAGAAAAATACTTCTACAATAATGTAAGTCTCTGCAGTTATATAACAACCTAACTCACTAAAAATACCAAATTTCATATATTCATAATCATATCCAATTACATGTGTATGCAAAAAGATTCAAACAATAGCATTAAACCTTGATGTTCCATTGTTACTTCAGTAATACATATGGATTAGATATTGCTGATGCCCAGTGGGGGGGATTTGTAAAATGAAAAAGACCGCGACTATCTCAGGAGCCAGACCGATTCCCGAGGGGTCCGTACCGAGGGAAAAAAGAACGGCTTTCCTCAGGGGGTGACGGGGGAAGCGCTGTTGCTATGGCAACTGGTTGCCGGGGGTGATCAGTTGTTGCGTCGGCTGTGGTTGGAAGAAAGCTGGTGGTCTCTACCAGGCTTCCAGAGGCGGCTAATATACTCAGTGGTAGAGATACTTTTTTCAGTGTTCTGAAATATTGCAGAATGTCAAAAGGTTGTTCTGCAATTCGAAAATATACACTTATATTATTAAGCCCTGACCTAAAGCCATGCGAAATTGCATGTTGGCAAACATTTTACATGCAAGTTTTCTTTTGCAATATTGAAAATGTCAATGCAAAATTCAGACTGCAGAT